GTCGGGAAGGTGGAGCTCTTATCTCTTATCTATACCTGTGCACGTGCTCCAGTTAACCCGCAGTGAAAGGCAGTACTGGGTCATGAGAGTGGGGGGAGAGGAAGCCTCAAGGAACCATAGGAATATTGTGTATTTCATCAGTGCTTTACTGGACCCTGGTTGACTCATCCCTTAACTGTGACCCCTCTGTGAGGGGATACCTTATTGTCTACAGATGGGCTTTGGGTCTCTGCTCTGTCCATCCCCTCTCATTCCCAACAATATGTTTTATTTGTTTGTTTGTTTGTTGTGGGTCTTCTGATACCTGTTACCTGGTCCCAATGACACCTCATGATCACACAGGCTGGTGTGCTTCTTCTATGTGAGCTTTGTTGCTTCTTTGCTAGATGGCTGCTTGTTTAACTTCAAGCCTTGAAGACCCCAGACGCGATATCTTTTGATAGCCGGGCACCATCCGCTTTCTTCACTGCATGTGCTTATGTACCCGCTTTGTCTTAAGGGATTGTGCCCGGAGCACGAGCATCACAGAATGCCAGTTTGTGACCAAGCGTTCTTACCTTGAGGGAGGGTATGAGCAGAGGCCCAAAGTCCGTCCACGCCCTCAGTGTATTGCCGTATAAATATATGTACATAGGCCAATACTTCTATTTTTATGGATTAATGTATTTACATATGCACATCTATGTTTATACTTCTATCCTTAACTTTGCTTCCTAGATCGGTCCTCTGCTTCTTTTACTTTCCTTCTGCCCCACTGTCACGATGAGTCCTCTCCACCAGAGGTTCCTGAGCAGCAGCTGAGCCAAAAGATCATGGTGTTCCCTCGCCCTAAGATGTGAGAAACCCAAAGGGGGCAGCGCCTGGGAGCTTCATGTGTTTGCCGCCAGCTCTTGCTCTTTGATCCCAGCGCACAAGTCGGAGAGACGTAACCTGCACCCACCAGGGCTCTCAACGCTCCCTGGCACGCAGGCTACCTTTCTGTTCCAGGTGACTTCTCAATCCCACTGTGTGTGTGTGTGTGTGTGTGTGTGAGAGAGAGAGAGAGAGAGAGAGAGAGAGAGAGAGAGAAAGGCCAGTAGTGGGTGTGGTCATCATGGTGAAAATGATCACCTTTGAGACTTCCAGGTCTGGGCACCTCAAAAATTATCCACAATTTTCTCCCCACCTTAATGCCTTCTTCCCTTTTTAAACACCATATAGGAACATTTCTTTATCTTTGTCCTCTAGTTCCTTAACACCCATTCTCCCCAGTGCTCCATGCCCTGAGCCACACCATTCTCTCCTCCATGGGAGCCAGGAAAAAGAAGGAACAAGCTTGAGAGAGAGGGAGGGCGTCATGACCAGGGCCTGGAGTGTGTGTTTAATAGGAAGCAGTATGTTCTCCAGTGTCCTCCCACGAAAGATGTAACAGCAGAGTCCTCCTTTTCTCGACTCCATTACTTAAGAATCTTGCCCACGAGGACGGACATACTCTCACCTAACGTCCTTCATCCCCTGCACCGAGACATTCTGCCCGTTAAGAGAGAAGAAAAACCCATCAACTTTTAAAAAAGAAATCAGAAAACAGCAGAGTACCCATTCTTTGTGTACTTTCTCAAGGTCCCATTAAAACAGCCGAATGGTTTTAAGTCGACCACAGTACTAGTTGTTCTTCTAGACCAGTGGTTCTCAACCTTCCTAATGCCACGACCCTCAATACAGGTCCTTATGTTTAATACATTCCTTATGTCGCGACCCTTTAGTACAGTTCCTCATGTTGTGGTATCCCCTCCAACCATAAAAGTTTCTTTTTAAAAATATCATTTTATTAGGGGCTCATACAATTCTTATCACACATAACATTATTTCCGTTGCTACTTCGTGACTGTAATTTTGCTACTGTTATGAATTGGGTGACCCCTGGGAAAGGGTCGTTGGATCCCCAAAGGGGTTGAGACCCACAGGTTAAGAACCACTGTTCTAGGACATCCCAGGACCGAGTGGCTGTCGGATAGCAAAAACAAAGAATAATTCTGTGCTTTAGCAAGCACCCTCTTCTCACAGGTAAGAGTGGTAAGACTGGCACCAATGAAGACTCTGACCTCAGGGTAAGAGTCTTAGGTGTGAAGGGCTCACCTCTAAAGTTTCTTCTTGGGAGTTGTATCTTGGGCAAAGCTTCATGAGGCCGGAGCTTCCGTCAAGGACCTCGCAGAGCTCCTTCAGGAAAACCCCACAGAACGGAACCACCTTGCAGCCGGGGATGTGCAGCGCCCGGGTCACCACCTTCCTGTACTCGCAGGAAGATTCGTGCTGAGCCATCGCGTCCTTCAGGCTCCTCATGGTCTCAATGTCGGACTGGTCCATAAACTGCCACATTTTTAGCACTTTTCGGGACCTAATACAAAGAAGTGATTTTTAAAAAAAGTGTGGTAAATGTATATGCAACCAAACACCTGATATTTCAGCAATCTTCTCATGTAACAATATTAATTATTAACATTAAACAGGGCAGGTCAAAACAAATACATGCATGTAAGATGAGCTAATTATTCAAAAATTATTCAAAGTAAGTTGGACCTGAAAGCTAAATTCAACCTATGCCTCCCTCGGGATCGTCTTATAGTTATTCTGTATCCAGTGAAATTCCCACCACATGGCTGGTGGCAGCCGGTCTTCAAGGTGGGCTCCAACCATACCTGTCGCTGGCATTCATGCCTTGTGTAGTGTCCACTGAACATGAATCAGTGCGGGTGCTGTGTGACCAAGACATTATGGCACTAATGACATAAAAAGCTAGGACAGAAAAAGCATCACAGCATCCATTTTTTTTTTCTCGCTCTCTGTTTTAAAAAAATTAAACAGTATTATTGACTATAATTCATGCATCATACAATTCAGTGGTCTGACTATATTTTTAAAAAGCATTTTTTTTACTCATTATTATTAGCTCCCCAATTCTCCCCCGTAATCTCTTCTCACAGGAGTGGTAAGATTGGCACCCAGGCAACTATTTAATTTAGTTGCTGTCTCTGTAGATTTTCCTATCTTGGATTTCATGTAAAAAAAAATCATATCAAGCCTCCCCCTCCAACAACAATGACAAAATAAAACACAGAAAGTCCTCACTCCAAAACAAAACAGGAAGTAATACAAACTAGGAGAAACCGAACATGGGTCAGAAGGGAAAACACATGATAAAATGTTAAATGTTAATCAAATGATATCTGTATCCATTCACTTTCTGATGCTCTCTGTCTGTGGGCAAGGCTGTTCCCATCTCTGGTCAATGGTCTGAGGGAATTCAGTGGGGCTTAATCCATAAGGATTAAGCTCTGAAAATGGATTTTGGGCTTTCACTGTCATCCATGGACTGCAAACCAGGTAAGAATTTAAGCTCTAATACAATTCCTTCCTCTGATTTTGGATTTTATTATTTATAATCCTTGGATCACACAGTGGTCTGTGTAGACTTAGCTGACACTTCACTTAGAAGTTTGCTTGCTTTAGGATAAGCTGTTAGACCCCAGACATTATTCTTTCTGGTAGCCGGGCATCATTTGTTTTTCTCACTTGACTTTGCTATAGTGCCCATATTTGCAGTGACTCCCTTCATGTGGGTAAATATTGAGCAGGGCTGCATCATAAGAACTGGTTGTTCTTAGGTAAGGGCTTACAGTTAAATGCGAGTTCAAAATCTATTCTACGGACTTTGCCCTCGTGGACTGCTTGCTCTTTTTGAGGTAAACCAGCTGCCATGCTGCGAGGACACTCAAGTAAGTCCACGTGGAGAGGACGTGAGGTTGCCAGTCAAAGCCAACACCATCTTTCGAGGCCAGTACAGAAAAGTAAAATCAAAAACTAAAACAAACCCATTGTCACGGAGTCACTTTTGACTCACGGTGAATTTGTGTTGCAGACTAGAATTGGTTTTGCTTGGCTGTAATCGTTCCATAGAACCACTGGTGGGTTCGAACCACCCACCTCTAGGTTAGCAGCTGATTGTAAACTTCTCCGGTCACCCATGCTCCACACAGAAGGATCTTTACCATAAAGATAAAACTATTTAATTGCAATGTGACTATACAGTCTCAAAAGAAAAGTGACAGGATCCTGAAGAAAGTTTACTAGAAAGAGAACACTCATCTGGGGAAAAAAATAGTTTCTGTTTTCCCAGTATTTGCTCTATTTTCCCTTCTTCTGAGCCATGCTTAGTGTATTTGTATGACCAGTCTAAATGCCAGTGACGTGATCATTTGAGTTTACTCTTAGTTAAGGAAGTTCAAAAGCAAAAAAATGCCCAACTCTAGGAATTTTCTTCATCTCCTCCACCCCCCACTGCCTATGGGGGGATCTGGAAAATTACAATGGAGCCCTGGTGGCATAGTGGTTACTCATTGGGCTGCCAGCTCTCAGGTCAGCAGTTCGTAATCACTAGCTGCTCAATGGATGAAAGACGGGCTTGCTATTCGCCTAAGCAGTTCCAGTCTTGGAAACTCGCTGGGGGGCAGTTCTGCCCGCTCCTGTAGGGTTGCTGTGAGCTAGGACCAACTCCATGGCGGTGAATTTGGGTTCAGTGTTGGAGGATCAAAGGAAAGTCTCGATCCTGTCATGAAGTAAGATCCAAGTAAAGGGAGTACCTTCTTTGAGAAGGGGACTCTCAGGCGACAGTCACAGCAACAGTGCCTCGCATGGAGGCTTACTCTATGCGCGATGCATGTGCTACGCATTTCAAATGGTTTCACTGAGTCTTCAGAGCAACTCTAGAGGAAGGAACCTTTTAATTCGACAGCTATGCCATGGGGAACTCAGAACATCATTTCATGTCATTATGTCCAATGCTGTCTCCCAGAGCGGCGAGGGGCAGCCAGTTCATGGCAAATCGCCAAGGGTGAATGCAAACAAGGCCGGAGGCAGCGTTGCTACAAAGGTGATCTTTGGTCTTAGCTGGGCAGCAAGGCACAAGAGCAGGATATCACGGTGGTTAAGAGAATGAGCTCTGAGATCAAGGTTGCCTGCTCTCAGATGCACTCGTGTCTGGTAACAAAGGGCGATGAATGAACTTCTGCAAGCATTAGGCTCCTCTTTCTTAGAGTAATAATGGGTCCTACCTCAAACATTGTTTTGGAATTAAAATATGCAATGCATAAAAAGTTAGCTCAATGTTTGTACAGTAGCCCGATGACATATAGTTAGAGAAACAGATAGATAGATAGACAGACAGACAGACAGACAGATAGATAGAGTGTATGGAACATGAGATGGTAGTGATGGCATAAACAGCACCGATAATTTTATTCAATTTAGCAAGAGCACAGGATGAAAGCAGACACAGTTAAGTGCAACCACGAATGTTGCACTTAGGGCATCTCTGAGGGACTAGGCTTGAGGAACGAAAATGATCACAACTACCTGCTTGCTTGGGGAAAAGAAGCTATCTGGGTAATTAACTTCGTGCCATTGAGCCGTGAAGCGGAAACTGTACCCAGGAAACTATGCCCACCTGACCATACCTGAGGCCAGCCAAGAACTCCATGACAGCATTGTAGTTGCCCATGTTCCAACAGCATTTGGCCACGTGCACCAAGTAGGAGAAGACCTCCCTCTTCTCTTCCATGGAGCCCGCTGCGAGGATCAGCCACGTCACCCAGGAGCTCACCTGGAAAATGCAGAGAGGAACACCCATCCTAAGACGATGCCCTGGAAGCTCGATAATCATTTCTTCACAAGAAGCTGTGACCCCGCCCGCCCATCTCGACCACTGCTTTGTCTGGGGATCAGGGAAAGTCCCTTAGCCTCTGTGCCTTCCTTCATCTTCGTCTCTAACCTAAGGAAGAGGATTGGAGGAAAGAAGAGCGAAGCAGGCCAAAGGTGGTGTCCAACTACCCCACTACCAACCATTCTGATCAGGTCCATAGCCGGCCCTGGGTAGGTTGGGAGATAAATTTGGGACAAAATTCAACATCCTTAAAAGACCAGAGTTACCCACCTGAGGGAGACTGCTGGAAGCACAAACACCCTCCTTCCAGCCTGGGATCCCTTTGCAGCCAACAACAGGCCTATGAAGTGAACAGTAACGTTCCTGAGGGACACGTTTCTCAGAACACCTAACCATCTGAGACCAAGGGCAACATTTGCCCCCAAAGAGGGCTGAGAGGCAGGAAGGGGGCAAGAAAGAACGAAGGCTAGCACAAGGCACCCTGGGAGGAAACCAGAGAGTGCTGTTACACTGAGGGAGTTGCAACCAATGCGGTGAAACAAAATGCACGGGGACGGTTCAGTGCAACATGAATCTGCTTCACACACTTTCACCCAAACCACCACACAAACAAAGGGACCAGAAAAGATAATTTGAAACATCCCTCTTGAGATATAAAATTCCAGGAGGCTACGGAGGGAACACAAGGCTTAAGGATAACTTTGATTGAAACCTATTTGGACTCTCTTTTACCATTGCACTACTCAGGACAAGTCAGCACTAACGAGAACAGCTACTTACATAGCTTAGCGTACTAGGGACTAGGCTGATGCAAATGGTTGATGTGCTTGGCTGCTGCCCAGAAGGATGGAGGCTCTGGTTCATCCAGATGTGCCTTGGAAGAAAGGCTTGGTAACCCACTGCCATAAAACTAGTTATTGAAAATCCTAGGAAGTTCGACTTTGATACCCTGCCAGGAATTGGAATCAACTTGATAGCAACCTTTTCATTTCATGTGCCAGACATCGTTCTAAGTTCTTTATATACTACCTTCTTTCCTTCTCACAGCAATCCTAAGAAGTGGAGGTTTTCTTATTATCCTCATTTTACATATGAATGAACTGGCAGAGAAAGGGCAAGGGAATTGCTTAAAGTCCCCAGCAACAGGTGGCAAAGTCTGGATTTGAACTTGGGTGTTTGTGGCAGAGATGCCTTTAACTATCTACATATTGAATACCTCATGCATGCCCGATATGGATGCTAATATTCTCCAGCGCTGGGTTTAAACGAATTCTCATGAGATTTTTTTTTCTCCCAGCACACAGGGACTGGACTATAATATTAAGTAAAACTCCACATCGAAGCCCTCCCTTTCACCACACCCCCAAGAGTGTTCTGCTGCTGCCTATACTCTGGGGCCTGGAACACGGTTGTGCAAGTTGTCTCCATCCAGGCTGACAGCTAGGTTGATAGACTGTTATTAACAAACCCAAGCCTTGCTCTCGATCCCACTTGGCTCTATTTCCTGTACTTGCTTAGGCAATTCCTGTCCTGGTCTGAGAGAGTGAGGCCAGAACACAGGGTCAGGATGACCCACGACAACCAAGAAAGAGTTCAAGGGTCAAGGCATATTGCTTACAGTTGATGAAAGGATAAGAATGAATGGCATTTAGTATTGGCAGAAAAGACCCCTGGTGATACAACGACTGAGTGTTCAGCTGCTAACCAAAAGTTTGACAGTTTGAACCCACCCAGTGGCTCCCCAGGAGAAAGATCAGCTCCCATAAAGATTAAACAAAAACAGAACAGAACAAACTCACTAATATTTAGTGGGTTCTGACTCAGAGCAACCCTGTAGAACAGGGTAGAATGGCCCCTAGGGATTTTCAAGACTGTAACTGTTTACTGGAGTAGAAAGCCTCCTCTTTCTCCCACAGAGCCAATGGTGGTTTAGAACTGCTGACCTCAAGGTTAGCAGTCCAACGTGTAACCATTTCACCACCAGGGCTCCCCAAAAGATTATAGCCTCAGAGGAGCTGACACCAAGGGCTCAATAGAAAACAATGATGGTAACATATGTACAAATGTGCTTGATACAATTGGTGTATGGATTGTTACAAGAGCTGTAAGAGGCCTAGTAATTTGTTTTTTAAAGTATAGCCTCGACAGCCCTATGGGAAAATTCAACGCTGTTACATGAGTGGCTCTGAGTTGAAAACGGACTCAATGGCACAGCACCCCAACAGTGTGCGCAGAAGCAGTTCCTGGACAGCGCAGTGTAAGCGCTTGGCTGCTAATCAGAAGGTGAGAGGTTTGTGACAACCTAGAAGACAGGAAGGAACCGGACAGAAGGACACGTGGAAGCTATAAACAAACACAAGAAGAGGGAAGGGTGCTGTTACATTGTGGAGCTTATAATCATCGTCACAAGCAAACTGCTCATCAATTATAGGGAAAACCAATTTGCTTTGTCAATGTTCACTCAAATCATAAGAACAAGATTAAAAACAAATAAATCCCGAAATCAACTTCCCAGCAAACAATACCCCAAACAAAACCAAACTCACTGTCCTCAAGCGACCCTAGTCAGTCATCTTTATTCCTAAGAGCAGCTGGTGGGTTTAAAATGCCAGTCTTGCAGCCCAAGGTCTAATCCATAGTACCACCAGAGTTCCTTTGACCCACCCCACCCCATTCCCCTGCCAGTTAAGGCGATTCCGGCCAATAACGATCCTATAAAGCGTGGCTGAGACTGTAAATGTTTACAGCAGCAGACAATCTCAGCTTTCTCTTAAGCAGTGGCTGGTGGGTTTGAGCCACTGACCTTGTGGTTCGCAGCCCAACATCTAATCCATGGTACCACCAAATCAAACTCACTGCCATCGAGTCCATGCCAACTCATAGCAACCCTATAGGACAGGGTAGAACTGCCCTGTGCGCTTCCAAGACTGCACCTCTTTAAGGGAGTAGAAAGCTCTGGCTTTCTCCCTAGGTGGTTTCTACCTGTTGGTCTTGCGGGTCACAGTCCCCAAGGGGAAAAGACAGTGTCTTGGTTCCATAAAGATCTACACCAAGAAAATTCAATAGGGTAGTTCTACTCTGTCCACTAGGTCACTATGAGTAAAACCTACTGGACAGTCCCTACCAACAGTGCTGGGGGAATATCATGTCTTTCCTTGGCTGAAGTCCATGGAAGCAATGTGATGGCCCTTGGCTATCCTTGAGCCCTAGAATCCCAGCACGCATCCCCACTGTCCACCTGCCTTGGCCTTCACTGGCTAATGTCAAGAGAAGAGACTGAAAATCAGAACCCTAGAAGAAATCCTAGTCTAGATCATCCTGCAAGAAATTTGGAGCTCCTTGGGAAGAAGATGACCATTTGCTCCCAATCTCCTGGGTCTGCCCTAAGCACACAGGTGCCCACCAGAGAGTACCAGAGCCAACACCTCTCCTGAAGGTAAGCTGCTCCCGGGTGAGCTAAGAGCAATTCCCACGCACCATCTCCACGCTTGGTGTGCCTGCCCCTGGTAAAAGTTACCTTTGTTGAAACCTTGGTGGTGCTAAGTTGGCCAGAGTCAGAAATGATTTTGTTGATAGAGGTAGAGTGTGTCTAGTTCTTCCTTTAGAGAGATTTGTTTTTGATGAACCCCATCTTGCCGGGGAAATCATCGGCCAATACTTAGAAACACAGAGTCTTTGTCCCTAGAGTTGGGAAATCCAGCCTGCTCTCTTTACTGGAGAGTTAAAATAGATTCCTTCAAGCCCCGCCACCCACTCCCCCCCAACCAGTTAGTTGTTGAGGCCTCTGGCCTCCAGTCCTTTCCTTTTAAACCAGATGGTGAATTGGGGTCTCTGGAAAGTCACTGTTCTGTCCAGTGAATTAGCACTGGGTGAATTAGCACACAGACTGCCCTACACTGCCACATAGCAGGCGGAAACCACCACTAGGTTGCTGCCTCAACCTTGATCACGCATCCAGACGGATTTCCTATCAGTCAAATCATTTTCCATATACTTTCCCACAATGTGAGGAAAAAAATAGCGATACTGTATTTCACATGGAAACCTAATTTAAACCAACTGTTCCATCTCCCAGTGTGAGTCCCCAGAGCCTGGTTGTTGAGATTATGTAATCACTGTTATCATAAACACACACACACACACACACACACACACATCTGTTACGGACTTTAAGGACTATGCTTTTATTAGAGCCGAATATATTCATAAGCTTGCAGGCAGTAAATACTGAAAGGTCATCTCTAATTAAGAAAAAAAATAAACTACATAAAAAGGGAATGAGGATTCAAGGACGAATGGCGAAATGCAGCCCACAGCAGAAAAGGTGCACTCTGGAAAATGGGATGACCCGCCGATCCAAAAGGGATGGCGGGACACTGAAATCACGAACCGGAACACAAAATCCAGAACAAATGTCAAGCACTACCAGGGGCCCTGGTGACACACTGGGTCAGGCGGTGGGCCACTCACCACACTGTGTGTGGTCCACCCACCAGCAGCTTCCCAGGAGAAAGATGAGGCGGTCTGCTCCCATAAAGATGTATAGTCTCAGACATTCGATGGCCTGGCTCTACGCTGTCCGATGAGCTGAAATCGACAAGCACAGGAACGTCCCGTGATTTTGTCTCATTTCACTGGTCATCCCAGAATTACTGGAGTAACTGCCCCCAGCCCAGTTATTGGAGAGCTTCTCCCAGAAAGCTCTGCGCTTATTCCAGTGACCTCAGCCAAGCTGTTGTTGACCTTCAGGTGGCAGCAGCACTGCGCCACAGGCTCTGCTGGGCTGGAATCTCCAGATTGCTGCGTAGGTTTGAACCACCGACTCTTTGCTTAGCCAGGCGTCCTCAAACTACAGCCCGCTGGCCACATGCGGCCTGCCGAGGGCATTTATCTGGCCAGACGGGTGGTTTTGCCCCATTTGTATTTCTACTTCAAAATAA